CCACAGACCTACTTGCCGAGGGATGAGCTTTGATTCCAAGTCCGGGACTCACGTTGCTCAAAGAAGCGAGCCATTTTTTTCCCAGGCTCACACCCCTTAAATACTAGTTTTCTTCTGTTCTCTCAGGCTAAAAATCTTGTAGCCCTGTCCCGTACCCCCCACCACCCCGCCTCATCTTTATGCTCTATCTGATTTACAAACCTACAGGTTGTGTCTTTCCTCGAAAAGGTCTCTCGGGTTTGCCTTCTCTCCACTATTCCCATTAACTGATGAGCAGTCTCAACCCCTTTGCTAGATTTTACTGTGGAGAAACGAAATCTTGTCCTTTCTAATATATTTTTTTAAGTTTATTTATTTTGAGACAGAGACCACACGAGCGGAGGAGGGGCAGAGAGAGAGGGAGAGAGAGAGAGAATCTCAAGCGGGCTCCGCACTGTCAACACAGACCCCGATGGGGGGCTTGAACTCACGAACTGTGAGATCATGACCCGGGCCAAAGTCAAAAAGACACTCAACTGACTGAGCCATCCAGGTGCCCTGAATCTTGTTCTTTGGAATATACTTACTTACATATTTGGATTTAAATGCTTTCTATTTGTCCTTCCTTCCCATTTCACATTCCTTTTTCTTTCCTTTCTTGCCTTTTTCAAAAAAAAAATCATTTAATTTTCCCCCTTTATAAGCTGGTTAATTATACATCATTTTACTCTCATTGCTTACCCTAGAGATTATTAAAACATGTATCCTTGACAATACAAGGACCTCAAAACAGTTGAAACTCATCTGCCCCCAATTCCTTTCATGTACAACTGTTGCCATGTATTTTAATTCTTAATACATTTTGAACATCATAATGTTATTGTTTTATGCAGTCAAAATTCATTCAGACTGACCTACATATTTACCCTTTCTAGGACTTTGCATTGCCAACTTTCCGCGTGAGAACATTTTCCTTCTATGTGAAAAACAGCGCTCACTTTTTCTTTCAGTGGGGGTTTGCTTGTAATGATTTCTATCAGTGTTTGCTTGTCTTTGCTGGTATGTTTCACTTTAATTACTTAAGACAATTTTCACTGGGTATAGAATCGTCGGTGGAAGTTCCAGTTTTATTTGAGCACTTTAGAGACTTCATTCTTTTGTATTCTTACTTTTTTTCCATCGAGAAATTAACTGAAAGTCAATGTGACGCTCTCTCTTTGTTAAAGATTTATTTTGAGTAATCTCTATGCCCTACGTGGGGCTCAAACTCACGACCCCAAGATCAAGGGTCGCATGCTCCACTGACCAAGCCAGCCAGAAGCCCCTGCAAGTCAGGGTGGCCCTCTTGAAGGTCAAAGCTTTCGGCTACTTAAAAATTTTTACTTTTTGGGGCGCCTGGGTGGCTCAGTCGGTTGAGCGTCCGACTTCAGCTCGGGTCATGATCTCACAGTCTGTGGGTTCGAGCCCCGCGTCGGGCTCTGCGCTGACAGCTCAGAGCCTGGAGACTGTTTCAGATTCTGTGTCTCCCTCTCTCTCTGATCTTCCCCCGTTCATGCTCTGTCTCTCTCTGTCTCAAAAATAAATAAAACGTTAAAAAAAATTAAAAAAAAAATTTTTTTACTTTTTATCTTCAGGTCTCGGCATATGTTTACATATGGCTTTCTGTGTATTTATCATGCCTGGGAATCACAGTGCTTCCTGAATCTGAAAAACATTATCATTTCTTTTTTCTCCTGGGACTCCAGTTACAAATATGTTAGACCTCCTCACCTTACTCCATCTTTCTCCTGGAGTCTTTTCTATATTTTCCAAACCTTTGTCTCTCTGTGCTTCACTCTCTTCCAGTTCACTAATTCATCTTCAGCTGTGTCTAATCTGATATAAAACTCATCAACTGAGTTTTTAGTACGGTTCTAGAATTTCTATTTTGAAGCTTCCAACTCTTTACTAAGGTGATCATTCTTGTCAAGGAATTCCTTGAACATGTTAATCATGATCACTTGAAAGTCTGATAACTCTTGGGCTGCCTGGGTGGCTCAGTTGGTTAAGCGTCTGATTATGGCTCAGGTCATGATCTCAGGGTCGTAGGGCTCTGCACTGACATTGTGGAGCTTGTTTCGGATTCTCTCCCCCCACCCCTTCTCAAAGTAAATAAACTTGAAAAAAAATGAAGTTTGAAAATTCTAATATCAGGATTTCCTATGGGTTTATTTCTAAGGTCATTTGTTTCTATTGGTCTTTAGTCATATCTTGTTCTGTATGCTTGATTCTTTTTATAGAAAACTAGAAATCATACATGAAAGCCTCTAGAGAGAATTTTTCCCCAGAAAGGGTTCATTTTTGTTTCTGAAAGGAAGTTAGGCTAGAAGCATTAGCAATGTTTGATCACCAGAATCCACCCAGTGCTTTAAATGACTTCAATCCAGGCTGTAGTTCCTGTGAGGGTTCGTGTATTTCCAGTTTTCTTTACTTCCAGGGTCGGCCCTTTGCACTTGCAATCACAAGTCGAGGATCTGACCAACATTCATCTCCAGCCCTGGCAGCCTGACTACCTTTGACCTCCCTATGTCCATCGACCTGTGAAAATGCTGCTCAACTTCAGCTACTTCTTTTAGAAGCTACAGGTATCTCTACAGAATAAGCAACACCAAATGCCAGGCTTAACTCTCTGGGCCTTCCTTCTCTCCTGTAACGTGGCCCCACAATTCCTCACTGCCTTGATAGGCTTTCCAGTCCCTCAGACAGAGTTTTGCTTTGTTTTGTACAACTTCTTGAGCTGTGCTCAGTAGACATGTGAAACAACCCATTGCACCATATGGGAAGCTAAACTCTCCTTTATTATTCATTTTGTTATCCCATGTCACCCAGTGAATGGCTTTCAGAGCCCTCTATATCCTCACCAACCCCTCTTTATCCAAACAAGAACACAGGCTTTGGGGTTGGAGGGGTTTATAAACGTCCAAACTGTGGCTTTACCTCTACTTTTAGCTATGCAGCGTTGGACAAAATATAGAGCTTTTCCAGAATTCACTTGTAAAATAAGGCAAGTAAAACCTGCTTCAGGGTCACTGAGATTAAATAATACAGGTTAATAGTTCAGCACAATCCCTAGTACATAGTAAGGTTAGCACTCACTGAGTGAGCATTATCATCACTATTAGTTTTATTAATAATAACTCATAAATAAATCCTCCTATCCTCGAAACTCATCAGTGTCTTTACTCTTGGTGAAATATGTGTACACATTTTCACATTCAGAGCTCGTTCACACTAGCCTTCAATGTTCCCTTTTCCTAAAGTAATCCAGTACCTTCTTCAAGACCTAAAATGGAGTTCAACCTCCTCAAAAGGTACGCCCTGAATTCAACATCCATACTAACGTATACTTGCTCTAATTCCCATTCAATTTGGCAGCATAGTTCATCAACTATTCCCTAATTCTGTGTTAGCGTCTTCCTAAAACTAGATTACAAAGTGCTTACAAAACTGGCCAGTAATTCCTATCCTCTATAACACATCCGGGATAGCACCAAACCAGGAGGTTCCCAAACATGTGCATGCTTCAGGGATTGACAAAAGTTCTTCATATCTCATAGGTGCTGTATAAATTAATATTGAAAAGCCCAAAGAATGGGGCACAGAAGGACACAGGTAGAAGAAAATGAGTAGATCAGCACATCAGAAAAAGAAACTATTTCCGGTAAGATATTTACTTAAGTCTTTAACTATAACTTCAAGTAACCTAGTTGCATTATTTTAAAATGACAACTCAAAGTCCAAAGTTGCATTTTTACGATTCAAAGTTTAGAGTTTAACGGGAACTTTCTGGTTCCTTTTAGATGGTCCCTCCACTTCCCTAGGGGAAAAATAAAATAAAACCCTAACTAGTTCAAGAAGTTGGCTAACAGTGATGCAGGAAAGAATACTCCCTAGGCATCAGTCACGAACACTGTAATATCCTGCTTTACTGATACTCAAAATTACTTGCTCAGGAGAATGAGAACAAAATAAAGATTTAAAACATGCACTTTTGTGAAAAAGGACCTGTGGTTGCAATTCGTTGACATTTTTTGAAGTCTTTAATTTTTTATCACAAGTACACACGACATCCTACATGCTTCCTGATAACACGATAACATGAAATACCTTAACGTTTTATAAAGATTATTTGCAAAGGATTCATGCTACTCTTACAAGGCACGTTTTTAGTATATTTTCTGCTTGAATATCACTTTCTTCCAATCAATACTAAAGGAACTATACCACTAAAGTAACTCTAAAGGAAAAAAAGCTCACTCTATTGATCATCCCCTCTCTGACAATTTCTGCCTCCAACGCCACCCCACAAACGTGGTATTTTATGGACAAAAACTTGTGTTTCGCTATTTGTAAATACAACGATGCCTTTTAGTGACCATATTTACAACAAAATTTTACTTTTGGCAAGTGACAGTGTCATTTAGCGCAAATGTCATGTGCTAAGAGTATGCTAAAATATACTCACGGTCATTTACATTTGAATAAGATGGGATACCTAACGTTGGTGTATTTGAGATTTTGAGGGTTTGAACCCCTGCTGAACGAGCCAAATGCGTAGCAGAAGGAGCTCACGTTTTGAGATTTTATTGTCCTGACCTCAGATGAGTCCATTAAAATTACAAACGGGAAGAACGAGATGACTGCGAACACGTATAATGTATAATTTGGAGTTTTGAAGGGGAGGAGGTGAGATTTCTTTTAGGTGTCAGAAACAGCAGGGACTATGAAACAGTTCTGGCGACACTGAACCACTTGTATAATACAAATAATCGGGAAAAGGGGAAAGCAAGGTAAACAGATAATTCAAGATGTGAATAAATATCTGTAAATAAATAACAACTAATCTCTTAGAGGACTCTTCTGCCCATCCCATCAGAGTAGAAGAAACATGACTGCATGCTCTTTTAGCCAGACAGTTCAGTATGACAATGTTTGCCAGTGGAGAAAGGCGTTGCATATGACATCAATGAACAGCAGCTTACCCACAGCGTTGTAGAGAGGCTCTCCAGTTAGCTTGTCCCAGACTACAGTGGTTTCCCTCTGGTTACTGACACCAATAGCTTTAAAGAGAAAGTTACACAGAAGGGAGTAGACAATTAAACAAGTAAAAAACTACTTCAGGAGAACAGTTCTTTAAAAAAAAAAAAAAAGGTTTTTTTTTTACATGCGTAACTAAACTTAACAGTTTGAAAAAACATTTGGCACTTTTGTAGTGGTGTTGAATGCACTTTGAGCGGCTCCAGGAAAAGTGAACAGCCAAGGTCAACAAGTGCTTCTTTTTATTTCCACAGACTGCTTCCCACTTCACTACCGGCACATGACAACATGGACCCAGACTCAGATCAATATCCAAATGAAAGGCTCCCAGGTAACCTTATAAAAAGGGAATACAATAATTCGAAATTTATAATAGCCAATTCATTATTCTATAGCGACCCGCAATCACCTCACTCATTTGTTTACTAACTGCCATGAGCAATTTCTCTGTGTGTGTGCACGTACGCATGCCTGTGTTTTGACAAAATAGCTACAGATAAAATTCTTCATGCCAGGCAACCTCATATTGTGGTTCTTGACAAATTGTTTCGGTCCTGTATTTTAATAATGTAAGACATACAAATTTAAATTGGGCATAAATACAATACGTGATGGTATTTACATTATACTGACCTCTACGGAACTCAAATGCTAAAGTTACAGTTATTATAAGTAAAATACTAATGCATACCATTTTATTCAATTTAGCTTATTCAGCCAAATCAGAGGTTCTCAGACTTGGCTGCACATTAGCATCAACTGGAGAGCTTCTGAAAAAATATCAATGTCAACTTCATGGTCCAAACATTCCAATTTCACAGACTGGGATAGGAGCTGAACGTTAGTGTTTTTCCTTAAACTCCCCCCCGCCAAGCGATTTCTACTATGCAGCCTAGGATGAACGCACTGACCTAAAGGATCGAGCTCTTCCGGAATGTATGGTGAGGACCGACTTTAAAGGCTATATAATCAACAACACATCTTTTGCTTAAATCTTCCCGAGAACCACTTGTCACGTGACCATTCAGCCAGCACTTCCATTGACAAAATCCTCTCTACCTCTCTCAAAACAGATCAATCTCTATTCACAACTTCGGTGTTTTAAAAACAAAAAAAAATCCTTTTCCTTGTAGCTTTAAGTACTCCCTTTGCCTAGCACGGGGCTTGAACTCACAACCCCCAACATCAAGAGCCAGCTGCTCTGTCGACTGAGCCGTCCAGGCACCTTTCCACATGGCACGATTTAAAGTGCCTTCACCAACTCTCCAAGCAACACGCAACTTTCTGTTCAAGCTGCACGCCCAGAATAAAACGCTACAGGAATGCTCTGACCGGCACAGAGCGGAGGGGGCCCAACAGTTCCTTTGTTCTAAGTAATCTTTTTTTTAAAGCTCAAAACAACAGTTCATTTTTAAAACAATACACTAAAATCTAAATTTAAAAAAGCAATTACTTAGATTTTGCTGTAAGGAGATTTTATGTGTAATAGAGAGCAATGAAAACTGGCCTATGGAAAATGAATATATATATTTTTTACTGAGGTGTAACTGACAATATAACATTGCCTAATGCTTGGATACATGTATAGGCTACAAAGTGATCACCACAGTAAATCTAGTATCATCCTGGCACCATACAAAGTTACATAATATGCAATGCAACATTGTTGACCGTAGTCACGAGGCTGGACATTATAGCCCTATGCCTTATCTATTTTATGACTGGAGTTTGTACCTCAACTCCAGTTTTGTCCCCCCTCCAACCAGGAACCACCAGTCTATTCTCTGCATTTACGAGTTTTGTTTCATTTGTGTTGCTTTTTGAATTCCACATACAAATAAAATCATACAGCGTCTGTCTTCCTCTGTCTGACTTTGGCATACCCTCAAGGTCCATCCATGTTGTCACAAGTGGCAAGGTTTCCTTTTTTGTGGTTGAATAACATCCCATTGTCTGTATATACACTTTTTCCATTCATCCGTCAACGAACACTTGGGTTGTTTCCATGTCTTGGCTATTGTTAAGAACTGCTATATACATAGGGGTGCATGTATCTTTTTGAATTTGTGTTTTCACTTTCTTTGGATAAAGACCAGAGCGGACTTGCTAGGTCATATGTTAGTTCTATTTTTGGGTTTTTGAGCCACCTCTCTACGGTTTTCCACAGTGGTCCCACCCAGTTACATTCCCACCAACAGTGCACAAGGGGTCCCTTTCCTCTACATCCTCACCAACAGCTGTTTTGAAAGTAGCCATTCGGACAGGTGTGATGTGATATGTCATTGTGGTTTTGATTGGCATTTCCCTGATGATGAATGATGTTGAGCATCTTTTCATGTGCCTGTTGGCCATCTGGAGGTCTTCTTTAGAAAACAACATTCAGGCCCTCTGTTCATTTTTTTTACTTAGACTGTTTGCTATTGAATTGTAGGAGTTCTTTGTAATTTTGGACATTAACTCCATATCAGATACATGATTTGCAAATACATTTTCCCATTTAATAGGTTGCCTATTTTGTTGATGGTTTCCTTTGCTGGGCAGAAGCTTTTTAGTTTGAGGCAGTCCCGCTTGTTTATTTTTACTTTTATTACTACTGATTCAAATTCCTTACTAATGGTCGGTCTATTCAGATTTTCTATTTCTTGATGATTCTGTCTAGACTGTTTCCAGGAATGTATCAATTTTTTCTACTGTTGTCCAATTTGTTGAGCTATCATTGTTAGTGGCACTCTCTTAGGATCCTTTCTATTTCTTTGCTATCCATTTTAACGTCCACTTTCGTTTATTTATTTGAGCCCTTTCTTTTTTCCTTGGAGAGCCTACTAAATGTTTATCGAAATAATCTTTATCCAATGCAAATTTACTTACTAAAACACCTTTTCTAAGGGTACAAAGATGACTAACAGTCTACTTCTAAGAAACTTGGAGGCATAGGGTAAAAGGAAGAGATTTGTTTTTTGTTTTGTTTTTGTTTTTGTTTTTTAATAGAAGACACTAATGTTTGCAGGAATCAAAATGGAAGGCAAAGGACAATGTGGCAGACGGGGTGCTGGGAAACAATGACACATGGTCCTGATTCTTTTTTTCTTTAACTTTTTTTTAACGTCTATTTATTTTTGAGAGAGAGAGAGAGAGAGAGAGAAACAGACCATGCACAGGGGAGAAGCAGTGAGAGAGGGAGACACAGAATCGGAAGCAGGTTCCAGGCTCTGAGCTGTCAGCACAGAGCCCGACGTGGGGCTCAAACTCACGAACTGTGAGATCGTGACCTGAGCCCAAGTGGGCCGCTTAACCGACTGAGCCACCCAGGCACCACAACATGGTCCTGATTCTTACAGTGACAGGAGGCGAGGAGATTAATGCACTGGTGGAGGGAGGAGCCTCAAGTATGACAGAAGGGTATCACTTTCCTTGTGATGGAGGGAAACGGATAAGAGTTCTAGATTTTAAGTATGGAAACAGGAAATGAGGAATTAAGGCCCCAGAGCCTCAACTTTCCCTGTGAGGTAGCACACAAGGTTGTCTGCTCCAGTGGAGCCGAGCACAAGTAGAAGCAGGAGCTGTGGGTGCCATTTAATACAGCTCAGGCTCTGAAGCTAGACCGCTGGGGTTCAAATTCGAATTCCTGTTTTCTTAGCAACATGACCCTCGACCTCAGTCTCACTTTTATCTTCTGTAAAATAGGAACAATCATAGTTTCACCCCCCTTCCAGGGTTACAATGAGGAATCCCAGAGTTAGTGCACATTGTAACGGTGCCTGGCACACGGGAACCACTCAATACCTGTTACTTACTGCTTCCACTCATTGTGATCAATATCACTGAGGAGAGAGTCGTCGAAAAACTGCAGAGTGGGACGGAGCTAATTGGGACACATAAAGGAAGTGCCCAGCAGCACTGTGGATACTGCAGAGGCCAGAGAACTCAGCGGGACCTCAGCAATGGATTGCTCAAGCGGAATACTGTCAACACGATACTTTGAGCGGCAACTTTCCAATGTGGGATCACGATGAATTCATGGTTGAGGAAAATCCCCTCTTCTCCCCCCACTACATGAATTTTCCATCAACAGACTGGCTGCTCGTTGAGCTGCAGTCTCTGAGTCACTGTCCTATGCCCTTCAGGCTATCTCTCTTTATCGGCTCATTCTAACTCGTGCTCAGGATGAAATCCAGACCTATCTCTATCTGATTCATGGGTTACAGGTTCCTCCCTCACCACTCCCTCTTTCCCTCCTATCTTACTTTGATTCCTCTGTGCCAGGTAAAATTGCTTTTCTTGCAGACAACCCAAGTCTGGTGAAATAGGTTCTCAGGATTCTCTTGCAGCCATAAAAACATCTCCATTACTGCCCCAGGGCACATAAGTCTTGGGCAGCACCTCTGAACTTTCTCAGCGTTCCAGCTTCTTGTCCTGTTTACCCTAAATTCCTGGGGGGGGGGGGTTAAGCTTTTTTTTTTTTTTTCAATGTAATCTCTACCCCCAATGCCAGGTTTAAACTGATGACCCTGAGATCAAGAGTCACATGATCCGGGGCACATGGGTGGCTAGGTCAGTTAAGTGTCCAACTTTGGCTCAGGTCATCCTCTCACGGTTCGCGAGTTCGAGCCCCGCGTGGGGCTCTCGGCTGTCGGCAAGGGGCCTGCTCCAGATCCTCTGTCCCCACCCTCCTCTGCTCCTCGTTCTCTCTCTCTCTCTCTCTCAAAAATAATAAACATTTTTTTAAAAGAGTCATATGATCTATTGACTGAGCCAGCCAGGTGCCCCTGTGTTGTTTTTAAAGCAAACTTTTGTGACTGCTAATCCCAGCACCTGTGCCTCTCTTAATCTTAATTCCCTCTTCCTCAGAATAACACATTCAGGTTCTGTAATTGTCCACCCTGGTTTATCACCCATTTAGGAGCATATGAAAGTTACAGGCATGAAGCATATATAATTTCCTGGCCCCTCAGTCATTTAGTTACAGATATTAGCAGCAGCAGCATATATGCAGCCCAATGTAGTACATTGTATCTAGCAGGTTCCTGCTTCACCTGTATGTTCCTTCTCAGGAGGGATTTTTCTCAACAGTGAGTATTGCTAGTAAAATGAACGAGTTAACTGCTAACTTCAAAATCTCTGGTTCAATTTGGCTTAACACTGCCTGTGGAAAGTTATAATCGCTGTTAGGAAAATATACTCAGAAAAAGCCTTTGGAAATACTACCGGATGTTGTAATTGTTGTTGGTGGAATTATGGATGGCATGTATTCTTATTTAAAAATAAAGTCAGGGGTGCATGACTGGCTTGGTCGGTAGAGTCTGCGACTCTTAGTCTTGGGGTCGTGAGTTCAAGCCCCACTGGCCTAGAGCCCGGTTATAAAAATTAATAAAAATAACATCATAATTTATAATTGGAACATGTTCAGGGAAAAAAAAAAAAA